TTGGAGAAAGGCCATTTCTTCCTCAGTAATGAACACCTGCATTTTTTACTGCACACTTAAAAAAAACCCCTGCAAAAATGTAACGAAACACAAAACACAAACCCTCTGTAATTTGCTCTGCTAGGCCATAGATGAGACTTACCACAAGCAACCTTAGCATCTGGATCAACCTTAATATGAGCATCAAGAACAGCATCACTGATCTGGTCACACAGTTTATCTACACGGGTGGAAAGGAAAAAAACAAAAATAAGCCAGGTTTCTATAATTCATTTAGTTGTCAACTGTATAAGAACAGGCTGCCTAGGTTGCACTCGTTGGAAGCCAATCCAGGTGGAATCTATGCACATATTAAAAACGTTCTGAAAATGCTTTTTATATATATTAAAAAGGCGTTTTAAAAAAAAACCATTGAATTTTCCATAAGGCTCATCATCACCAGCTAGTATCACATTGTATACTGCACTTAAAACACACTTAAAATGTTTTATTTGCAGCTGTATAGCTGAGTCGCCATTGTATTATTATTATTATTATTATTATTATTATTATTAAAAAGCAACATTTTTTCTGAGCTTTTCAGAGGTCACAATACCCTCCACAAGTACATCAAACATCCACCTGGGTTTGCTAGAAAGCAGTTATATAAAGAAACCACTGGGATGACATTTGAGAACATACATACCTCAGTGGTAGAGCACTTGCTTTGCATGCATAATGCTTCAGGTTCAATCCCCACCATCTCCAGGTAGGTTGGGACTGACCTGTGCCTGAAATCCGGGGGGGGGGGGGTTGCTGCCAGTCAGTGTAGACAACACTGTGCTAGATGGACCAATTGTCTGACTCAGTACAGTCATACCTTGGATCCCAAACGCCTTGCGAGTCTAAAGTTTTGGCTCCAGAACGCCTCAAACCCAGAAGTGAGTGTTCCAGTTTGCGAACCTTCCTTGGAACCCGAACGTCTGACGTGGCTTATGCGGCTTCCGATTGGCTACAGGAGCTTCCTGCAGCCAATCGGAAGCCGCACCTTGGTTCCTGAACGTTTTGGAAGTCGAACAGACTTCTGGAACGGATTCTGTTCAACTTCCAAGGTACCACTGTATAGGGCAGCTTCTGGTGTTTTCCTGAGAAGATCAGGCATTTGCCGGTTTGCTGAGTTGACTGTTAGAGCATTATGCATCCAGTTCTTTCAGGCTCTCTTGTAAATAATTGAAAAAAGCACTTTTAAAGCACAGTTGTCAACATTTCCCTTTTTTTTAAGGGAAATTCCCTTATTCCGAATAGGATTCCTCTCAATAAAAGGGAAAAGTTGACAGCTATGCTTTTAAAGAGTTCAAAGCAAGACCGTACCCATCACTGAGCAAACATAACAAGCACTAAACCTGCTGTATTAAGACCAGTGAAAGCCACCTGAGCCGTCAGGTGGGGATGGAGCAAGAATTGAAAATATTCATGGTTGGAAGCTTACTCTCTTCCATTCCTTCGGAAATTGGAGGCCTCAGAAGAGGCTATTAGAAAGTTACATTTTGCATTCACCAAACTGCTGGACAGGAAACCCACACTCACCTGAATGTCCCTCAGCAACAGACTCAGACGTGAAGAGGAATCTCTTCTCTTTCAGGGCGACATTACGTGACATGTTACCTGGCAGAAGGTTGTTTTCAGGAAGAGAATAACTTAGGAAGAAATCGGCAAGGGCTGGTTTTCACTCAGCATGCATGGAAGGGAACTATAAAGAGTGACTCTGTACCTGAGCTGCTGCCTTAATAACCATTTATCATAATAATCAAAGTCCAAAGGGTGATAACGGCTCTTAAGAAGCTCTTTGTAAGCAGTCCTTTGTGATCCTTGCCCACCTGGCTCCAAGCCAATTAATAATCAATATCAAATTGCAAACATGCGCTGGATTATGGAGAAAGCTTGACAGTTCCAGAAGGACATCTACTTCTGCTTCATTGACTATGCAAAAGCCTTTGACTGTGTCGACCACAGCAAACTATGGCAAGTTCTTAAAGAAATGGGAGTGCCTGATCACCTCATCTGTCTCTTGAGAAATCTTGTGTGGGACAAGAAGCTACAGTTAGAACTGGATATGGAACAACTGATTGGTTCAAAATTGGGAAAGGAGTACGACAAGGCTGTATATTGTCTCCCTGCTTATTTAACTTATATACAGAATTCATCATGCGAAAGGCTGGGCTGGATGAATCCCTAGCCGGAATTAAGATTGCCGGAAGAAATATCAACAACCTCAGATATGCAGATGACACAACCTGGATGGCAGAAAGTGAGGAGGAATTAAAGAACCTTTTAATGAGGGTGAAAAAGGAGAGCGCAAAATATGGTCTGAAGCTCAACATCAAAAAAACAAAGATCATGGTCACTGGGCCCATCACCTCCTGGCAAATAGAAGGGGAAGAAATTGAGGCAGTGAGAGATTTTACTTTCTTGGGCTCCATGATCACTGCAGATGATGACAGCAGCCACGAAATTAAAAGATGCCTGCTTCTTGGGAGAAAAGCAATGACAAACCGAGACAGCATCTTAAAAAGCAGAGACATCACCTTGCCAACAAAGGTCCATATAGTTAAAGCTATGGTTTTCCCAGTAGTGATGTATGGAAGTGAGAACTGGACCATAAAGAAGGCTGATCGCCGAAGAATTGATGCTTTTGAATTATGGTGCTGGAGGAGACTCTTGGGAGTCCCATGGACTGCAAGAAGATCAAACCTCTCCATTCTTAAGGAAATCAGCCCTGAGTGCTCATTGGAAGGACAGATCGTGAAGCTGAGGCTCCAATACTTTAGCCACCTCATGAGAAGAGAAGACTACCTGGAAAAGACCCTGATGTTGGGAAAGATGGAGGGCACAAGGAGAAGGGGACGACAGAGGACGAGATGGTTGGAAAGTGTTCTTGAAGCTACCAGCATGAGTTTGGCCAAACTGCGGGAGGCAGTGGAAGTGCCTGGCGTGCTTTACCTTTAAGCAACAAGTGAGAGCTGCCTTGAGGTGCAAGATGACTGCTTTGGAAAACTGGGCCAAAATTAAGAAAATGAATTTCAGTAGGGACAAATGCAAGGTTGTACACTTAGTCAGGAAGAACCAGCTGCACAAATATAAGATGGGGGACACCTGGATTGCCAGTAGTACATGTGAAAAGGAGCTAGGGGTCTTAGTTGACCACAAGCTTAATATGCGTCAACCGTGTGTTGCAGCAGCAAAAAAAGACTGATTGGGTCAGCCCTATGTCCATCCATTCTGGACCCAGTTTCAGATGACTAAATACAGCAACGTGCTCATCTTTACCCATTTGCCATTCCATTTCCAGGTTCCCATACTCTCCTGTCCCTTGGCCTGTGATCTGTTTTTGACACCCAGTAGCGTACATGATAGGTTGGACAATAAACACAGTTGTTAAACAGATTATCCTGTTTTCAAGTTTCTTAAAGTTATATTAGACTCAGGTAGGTAGGCATGTTGGTCTGATGCAGTCGAAATAAATAAATAAATGTCTAGTAGCACCTTATAGACCGACTAAGTTTCTTCTGGTATAAGTTTTTGTGTACACATGAAAGCCTATAGCAGAACAAACTTAGTTGGTCTATAAGGTGCTACTAGACAATTTTTTATTTTTTTATTTTTGATTAAAGTTATACTGTTTGCAATGTTGAGGAAAAGACTTGGTCAACGTATATATTCCATCAGTTTGTATCCTGGCTGCAATAGATTTACAGACAGATTTTCTGTGATCCAATTATTTTGTAAATTCGTTCATTACAGCATTCCTTGGTAATCAGCTAGTATGTTTCTTAAAAGGGCAGGAAGCAATTGCATTTCTCCGTAACGCTATTCAATTGTACACAATCAATGTACATGTTTACATATTTACAAATTCACTTTTCTGCACATAATATGCAGTTTGTTCCACAATAAAGAAATATGGATTGAGTAAGTGCTATTTTCAGAAGCTGAATTCTTTATTAATCTCAGGTTTGCTAACCCTCAGACTCAAAGCTTTTAAACAGGTTTTGGAAATCATTAAGATGTGGTTCGTAGTTTTGATCCCAGATTTGCCCTCTCAGTTTATTTGGTTTCAGATGTGGTTATTAAAAAAAAAAAAAAAAGGAGCAGCAATCATTACATCAACTAGTCCAGCCTTCTTTAAAGCCAGCTTCCAAGCAGTCTACACTGTAAGTCCAAGAACATTCTGGAAATGTCAGAAAACACAAGTTCAGTTTTTTATATACTGTATATTTGTATTTCCCATGAGAAATTCAGACCTGTATGTGCACATATCTCGGGAGAGTTCTTAAAAAGCAGGTACAGCAGCTAACATCTTACACACAGGCCATGTTTCTCATATCATATGGATTGCAACAGGACGACCACCGAAGAAAGTCTGACGAAAAATTGTCCACGGTGCACTGTTCTCATAGCCTGGAGGGCTGAAATTCTTCTTCAAGGACCTCCTCCACAGTCGCGTTCTCATAAGCAGGAGGGGGTGTGAGGGGCTCCGGACCGCAACTCAGGCTGGCAGCACAATGCCCATAACCACATGGAACTTTGAAGTGTCAGGCATAGCCCTATTGGCTTTAGCCCAAACGTAGCAGAGTTTTCCTGCACAGCGAGGAAGCTAGTTGCGGCAGTAATGACTAGTCAGCTAGACTCAGAATAACTATTTACAGGATTTATTAAAAAGGAAAAATAAAACCAGCAGAGTTTCTGCATACAAATCAAAGCAAAATAAATCCTCTCTTTCTCTCTCTCAAAACCACACACAGCACTTCTACTCCTAACACACCTCACCACCAAACTGTGCTAGCATTTCTAGATAACAGAGTTGAGTGCTGGTCGTTAACCAATCAGAGTAAGTAGTTTCTAGGTCAAGCAGACCTGGGCTTTCTGCCAAGAGTAAATTGACACTGCCTTGAGTTAATTGTGCGAAGCCAGAATCTGCAAGTTTCCCACGAGAACCAATTAACAGAAACTGAACAGTTCTGCCCGCTCTTCAATACCTTTGAGTTCGTGGGTATCCGAGACAAATCGCTGCAGTTTTGGTGGCATGAGCAACCTGAGGCGGAACCTGGACTGTAGATCTGCCTCTGAGGCACGGCGTGTGCCTGGTGCCACTGCTTCGACCACAATCTCTCCGTGGGCAGGAGGCTCAATGACCACGCTGTACGGAGGGGGTTCCACTGGGGTTGTCCCTGGACTGGAGGTGATGGTCCAGATGGTTGGTCCCAATAAGTAGCCAGTAGTCACCACCTCCTCATATGCCGGTGCCTCATAGGCCTCATTGTCTATGCTGGTAAAAGAGAGGGGAAGTAGTTAAAAACACAAATCATTATAATAGCTCCATGCTAGTCACTGAAGTCACCACCCTCCCATGCTAATACTTAAGAGAAAGGGAGCCAATTGTTATTTGGGCAGTGTGGGATAGAGAGACAGAAAGAGATAGATAGGGATAGACAGAGAGAGATAGAGAGGGATAGAGAGATAGAGAGAGATAGCAGTTGCATTGGAAGTAAGCATGGACACCGCAGGGATTTGAACCCCGTCCTGGGAACCAGGAGCGCCGACCACCAGTGTCTTTTGCTTTTTTTTTGAGCAATGCAACAAGGGGAAAAGCAAAACCTGAGAGAACATTCTGCAAATGTTCTCTCAGGAAAAAGAAAACCTTAAGATGTTAAGAAGAGCTCTTTGGATAGACCTGTGAAGAGAAAAAGGAAAATAGGAAAAAGAAGTGACCAATACAAAAAAACATTGTCTTGAAAAAGACAACTGGGTGATGGAATGTGAACTTACCTAAAGCAGCACAGTCCAAATGTAGGCAACTCTCACTTCAGGTATACTGAACTCTGCGAAGCCTGAAGGAAAGAAGAGCTGGAAGAAAAGAAGAAGTCTTCTCCTACCTGCAGGTGAGCCTCATCGTAATGACACGGAATAGGGCCTCTTCTGACAACTCTGTCACCGCAACCTGAAAAAGTCTTAGCCCAATGAGTTGCAGACGGAACACAATGAAGATTTCCCCCTAGCCATGCAAGGGATACTCTGAGAAACCTGAAGGAAAGACGAGCCGGAACAAAAGAAGGGCTGGAACAAAAGAAGAAGTGTTCTCCTACCTGCAGGTGAGCCTCATCGTGATGACACGGAATAGGGCCTCTTCTGATGACTCAGTCACCCCAACCTGAAAGAGTCTTAGCCCAATGAGTTGCAGACAGAACGCAATAGAGATTTCCTCCCTGGCCAAGCAAGGGATACTCACCTAAATGTCCTTCAGTCACGGAATACCATTTTGACCGCCATTTTATTTAAAGCTGGATGAGCCATTAATCTAGAGGGGCAGAACAGAGACATCTAGAATCACTAGTTTGTCCCCAGTCACCTTCCACCAATCTTACAGAAAATGAGATTTAAAAAACAAACAAAAAGAAAACAGCTTTCTTACCACAGCTTTCTGTGACTCTTGTGAAAGAGCTGGCTTCATCTCAGTGTTGTAGGATCTTTGGAGAGACCCGTGAAGAGACCAGCAGAAAAGAAAATGAGAAAAAGGAGAGACCAACACAAAAAACAATGTCTTGAAAAAAGACAACTGAGTGGTGGAATGTGAACTTACCTAAAGCAGCACAGTCCAGGAAAGAAGAGCTGGAAGAAAAGAAGATGTCTTCTCCTACCTGCAGGTGAGCCTCATTGTGGTGAAACAGAATACGGCCCCTTCTGACAACTCTGTCACCGCAACCTGAAAGAGTCTTAGCACAATGAGTTGCAGATGGAACACAATAGAGATTTTCACCCTAGCCAAGCAAGGGATACTCACCCAAATGTCCTTCAATCGTGGAATACCATTTTTACCACCAGTTTTGTTTGAAGCTGGATGATCCATTGATCTAGAGGGGCACAACAGAGAGATGAGATTCAGACTTAAAGAACTTTCCTAAGAGAAATAATACACTTTCACGCAGGGTCCTGGAGTTGCTACATCCCTGAGCAGTCGCTCTGCATCTCCTCCTCAACAGGAGACAAGGACAAGCCACCTCTTTCTTATCATTGCCATCTGCAGCTTCATCCTCAAAATGCCTTCTTTGCTTTTCCACAATGGAACTGGCAAAGTCACCTTCATTTTGCTTGTGGTTTTTATCTTCCTCAAATGCTGGCATGTTTGGGACCTTCTGGATTTAGAAACATCTCCAGGAACAACAAAACCTCAACAATGTTTTGGTGCCCGTCTTCTGCAATTCCCCCATAGCTTCAAATTAGGTAAAATGCTCTGAGCCGTGATGAGTGCATTTTGCTTCTGCTGCTGCTACCTGTGGCACTTGCTGTCCACCAAAATCTTGGCACACTCATTCTAAGGGAGGGTTACAGATGCTAGATGCCACTCTCAGGGCTAGATGAAAAACAAAGAACTTAGAACCTCAGGAAGGTGGTACACACAAGGACTTTCCAGACTTTCTAGCAAGAGACAAGAAGTAAGTGTGCCTGCAATGCTCCCCAAATCCCTCCCTTCTCATCTATCCTATTCCTGGCTTCAGTAAAAACTTAGAGGGCTTTCAGTTATTGTGTTACCAGCTATACTTCATCAGCCTGGATCCACCAACATTTCTTGCTTCTAAGTCTTTCCTATGCTAAAGTCTTCCCAATCTTGACTTTTCTAGCTTGAGAAATGAAAACCTCACACTTTCCCTAACATCAGATGGCTTCTCCAGCTGCCTTTTAAAAGAAAAACTTTCCATTTCCCCTACCCATTTTTCACTGTGCTTTAAGCAAACTTCATATCCATCTATGTGCTTTCATGTGCTCCTTTTTACATCCAAAGACTAGTTAGTTTGAAAAGTAAGTAAAACTTGATTTATCCCCTTCATATTCCTTCATTTTCTCTTGCCTTCTCCAGTTTTCACATGGTTTTTTTTTGCTTTGGCGATTATCCTTAAAATCTTCATCTTGGTATTTTTCTGAGTTTTCAGTTTAGATTTAGCTTGGCTAAGCTTTCTTTTGGGGACTTTCACAAAGTCCATCTTTTGTCCACAAATGACTGTCCCTCTTTGATTAGGATTAATTCTTCTTTGGTCTTCTATTTTCTTTCCATTTCTGTTTGATTTCAAAATTATTGCCTCTCCTAACACTTTTTAGACAGATACCTAATTAATACATATATATCAGCTCACAGGTGAAAATTACTTGTACCTCTTTTTGAAGTTGTAAACAGTAATGTTTCAGTAGTGTTAACGGAAAAATCTGAGGGCTCCCTTGGACAAAAACAAAGACACCAACCAGGACACCAGAAAAATGGGGCGCAAGGCCTTATAAAGACTTTTTAAATTGCCACCCTGTAGATCAAGACCACCCCCAGAAACATCATACATCACAGAAGGGGTGTAACCTCAGATACATCATACCTACATCACAAAAAAGGCAGTCTAAACAGAAATTTGAATGTTGTTTTTCTCCTGTCCTTGTTTATCTCCTGTCTGGCAGGTTACTTGATTGGATTGCCTGGGGAGCCTGGCCAATCTTTTGTAATGATAAATACTTAGTTCCTGGGCCAGGTCACAGGCTCACACCCTATTCAAACACACACATACCCTTAAGACAGGGTTTGTGAAGGAAAAGACAATGGGGAGGCTTTTCCACTTTGACCTTGCAGAGAAAGCATTTGCTCAGTTTAGGAATCAAAATGGCTTCAGGTCGGTCTTCCTGTGCTGATCTATGTACGTGCGGTTATGAACATTACCATATATCTAAGACCTCAAAATTCCTATCACAGTAGAGTAAAATCCCTTTGTTTACTTAAAAAAATCTAAGCAGTTGTGTTTACAAACCTGTTTCATCTTCCCCATCTGGGTCTCTTTCCTAACCCCTCTGCCCCTTAACTCCTTCAGCTTTGACCGGTGAGAGGGCTAACACCAGTACTATACCCAGGGACAGGCTCACTCACTAGACTCTGGCTCGCTCCTTCCACCACCTCTTGGTCATAATGACACATAAAAAAGTCCCTTGCAGCATTAATACAGTGGGTGCAAATGTCTTCATTTTCAGCATGCAATCATTGCAGGGCTTTGGTGAGGAATTAGTATTTTCTTCCCACATTAATACATTGTGGAAATAAATAACATGTGTTTCACACTTTTCCTTTCATCATCTTATTATGAAGGTAACTCCTTCACCATTTCATCTTGACTCACACTTGAATAAACCTGCAAACAGGTGTGTGTTTACTCAGAAATTAGTCCTGATATATTCTGTGGGGCTTACCCCTTTGTGTTTTTAGGATTGCAGCTGAAGATGTTGGATTGGGGAGTGCATGCTCATCACTTCTTGGCATTTATTAACCCATCGCACTCTTGAGTGACCACCATGAAAAAGGGCTGAGGGAAAAGCTATGGGAAGAGGGGCTGGCTTATGACCATGGGCCTAGCCAAGGTGGCAGGGGGCAGGTGCCCCCCTCAATCAATAAAAATACTTTAAAAACTTGAGTTTCTGCCTTCCCTAACAAAAGCCTGCCCCCCCCCATGCTTGGGACTCAGTGGGCCCCATTGAATTCTATGGAACAAAATAAACAGGCTGCAATCTGGGGCACAGCTGAAAGGACAGCAGTGGTTTCTCATTCCAGACACTTGAGACTGCATACACACATTTTAGTCTAGAATCAATGGTGTCTGAGTGCTGGTGTGTGTTTTTAAATGTACAGGCAGCGACTATTTTACATGCATATGATTGAGGTGTGACCGTCACACACTCATCTCTGTGGACCTGGAAGTGGCCCGAAAAGGGGGTGGAACGAGACGGGGGTGGGGCAGGGCAGGGTGGGGCGGAACAGGGTGGGCTTACGTACGGCCCGCCAACACACGCGAAGACCCGGAACGCAACCCCCATGCAAACGGGCAGTTGCCTGTAATTGACACGGTCTAGACTGTAGAGCTATTGCACATCTTTTGTCTGAAAAGTGCTTCTTGAGATTATGTACACCCTATGGGAGCAAATGTGTTATTATTGAATGTTCTGTCAGCGCAAGTTGTTCAATTTGCCAGATGGAACAGTCCCTCCTCTCTGAGACTCCATCCCAGCATGCTTTTCTGGGGGTTCTCCTGACCCTCCCAGAGCCATTTTGGGGGAACACACAGGCAGAGGGCAGCGGGGAAGAGAAGGGAGGACACTCCATTTCACAAGCAAATCTCCATATGCAGGGTTTCTGCTGAAAGGACTCATTAGGTGACTCCCACCCTATACCTTTACAGGACATTCCAACATATTATTTCCCTCAATCGATTCTGGACACTGCAGTTTGTTAAGGGTTTCGGGGGTCAGTTTCAGGGTCAGTTCCATAACCTACGAGCTATATAGCCTTTTGTCCTCAGGTAGGGAAATCAAAGCATCAGCTGATGCATGAATGAGCACATGATTTCCTTCTTTGTACAGGTGCCCATTCACCCCCACTGCCCAGCAGGAGCAAATTTCGGTATGCAATGGTGTGTTGATGGTGGTTGGAGCATGCTGGGCTTGGAAGGGGGAGGGTGGATGTCCTTCCTGGGAGGCATCTGTGCTCTGGCCACCAAAAGGTCATCTCAGGGGAGGGGAGGAAGCCCACCAGCACCTGATTCTTAGCAGCTTGTTGGAAGGTTCATGGCGTTCCTTTATTGCTCCCATTTCCTTGAGGTGTATTGAAAGCTACAAAACACCAAAGGCCAAGGAAATGAACAACTTGGAATACAGAGGCAAGTGTTCATCCCCAACCAAGCCTCAACAGTGTCTTAAATTTAATGGGATGGATTTTGTCTTTGAGGCAACAAAGCTGGAGCTACCTTAAGCATCTTTTTGACCATAAAATAAAAACCATTGCAATGGGGATGTTGTAGTGTCATGCAAGTGAATAAATGGCACCATCTTTTGTATGACTAGATTGCTGGTTAAGTGTTGGCTGCTTGTTTTTTGATCTGGTTCTAGAATTAGACCTGGTTCTAGAATGGGTGGCTGCTAGCTCTGGAATTTGTGACCCAGCTGGTATGGTCCTGTTCATATTCTTGACCATTGGGCATCTCTAAAAGTAAAACCCATTGGTGAAATGTGCCTCTAATTTTAATTCAGAAAACATTGGATGCCTCAGGTGTCAATACCCTGCAAATCAAGAGAAAAGGAAAGCAATTTTTGTTTTGCTTGCCTCAGCAGCATGCATGGGGTGGAGACACACCTCACTCTGTGGGTGTATGTGTGTGTGTGTGTGTGTTTGTGTGTTCAGGAAATGGTAGGTTCACGGTGTGAAGAACAAACAAGTGTTAGCAGGTGACATATATATTATATATATTGGGGAATGGGAGCACCAATGACTCGCACTTCCTCTTTCAATATTTATTTTAGTGCGTGTAATTCCCCTCTTTGAGAAAGTTCAAAAATTACTGAATTAGAAAGAAGTGCATGTGACATTAAATGTGACACTCGTTTGGTACCAATGTTCTGGGCCTGGTTACATGCCACAGAGGTGCTCTGGCTTGGCCAGAGACCAGCTTGGAAAGTTATACATGATTCTACAAACCATCGTATTCACCATAAATCTACAGCAATACTCATAAACCTCTGTTTGCTGTTTTGCAGCTTTCTCAAAAAATTGAGCGTGTGTGAAAGGTCACAGCCACACCATAGATGTGAAGCACATTTAAAACACATGTGTCCCCCCCCACCCAGAATCATAGGAACTATTGTTTACCCCTCACAGAGCTACAATGCTCAGCACGTTTACAAACCAGTTCCCAGGTTTCTCTGGGGAAGCAAACGTTATTTTACATGTATAGTGTGAATGGGACCAAAGTTTCATCCGCATTTTGGTGTGTCTCATATATTTCTTCCACTGGCAGAGTCGGGGAAGAGCACAGTAGTTTCCTAGCACACGTGCCACTTCCTTTCAGTGAGGCTTGCACAAGAGAACTTCGCGGCTGGCTGTGCCCTTAAAATATAACTGTGCCTGAAAGCTCTGTTGTTAGATAATAGTCCAGAATGATGTATTGAGGATGTATGTTTATGGCTGTCTGTGTTTTATGGAATGCCAATGGTATAGTTTTGGTAAAATATGCAGGGTTATCTGAGTATGTAAAATGAACCACCGGAAAGAGAAGAAAGGGGAGTCATAGATATCTTTAAGGATGTAAAAACGAGTGCTTTCAAACACAAAATTCCAATATCAAATTTACAATATACCCCCCCAATTAAATGGTTTTAAAAGAAACGACAACGAGAAGACTCGGGTCTAGCGAGCTGCCTCCCCATGGAATCCTCGTTTATAAATGAAACCCAATGCAAAGCGAATCAAAGGAGGCGGGTTTTTTCCACTTTGCGTCTTTCCCTTTCGAATTTCCCGCCCTCGGAGGGAACCGGACAGCGCCTCCTCGCGAAGCGAGGCCGCCGAGAGCGGGGCGGGCCTGGGCGGGGGAGGCGGGCGGTGTTGGGGGCCGGCCTCCGCGACGAGGAGGGAGGGCGGGCTCTGCTTTGAGGCCCGCCCGGCATGCGAGGAGCGGGATGGCCGAAGCCGGGGACTACGTCGCCGTGGTCTCTCCGTCGACGCCCCCCGGCCCGGGCAGGCCTGGCGGCGGGGAGCTGGGCGGCGGCACCCAGGCCTCGCAGCGCCTGCTGGCCTATAGCGACGCCCTGCTCTCCATCATCGCCACCGTCATGGTGAGTCTCTCGGAGGGCGGCCGGGCAGCCCAGGCAGGCGAGGGCGAAGCAGGCGCGCCCCTTGCTGGGGAGGGCGGGTGGAGCTGCACCTGTCGGAGCCCCGCCTGCTGCGAGCAGGAACGAGGCGCAACCCCGGGGCTGCCCTTTGGCATGGAAGGGGCGAGGTTTCTGCAGCAGCGCCTCTTCCTTTTTATTTATTTTTTAACATACCTACACACATAATTTTTATGGTATGCCACCTTTCCAAAGTTAGATTTATAAAAGGGACCCCAAGGGTCATCTAGCCCAACCCCCCGCAATGCACAAATTCTTCCCCCAGTGGGGCTCGAACCCACGACCCTGGGACTAAGAGTCTCATGCTCTATGCAATGAGCTATGGTATCAGTTCAGACCACACAACATGGAAAAAATGCACAATTGCAGTGCAGCAAAAGCAATCATAAACAATAAACGAAACACCCAAAAATACACAATCAGACTGAACAATTCCTGTGTAACCAGATCTAAAATAAAGGTATGAAAAACCCCCAAACTATACCCCAGCGCCTCTTCCTTTTTGAAGGTGAAGCAGCATGGCTGGATTAGAACCTGGGTCACAAACTCTTTCAGAATCTCATCACGCAGCCACCTCTGCAATACACAGGCAATAATAATCTTGCTTTATTCCTTACGTTTCTACCCTGCCTAACGAAAATAGTAGTGACAATGTTGTTGCATCTGGCTGGGTTGCCCAAGCCTCTTGAGATTCTTCCCCTCTCCTGTTTCGACTACACAACCCTGTGAGGGCTCTTGGACCACACTTTGCTCGTACCTGTGCCCAGAAACCAGGGGTCTCGAGAGCCCTTTTCCCGTTTGCCCTGCCGCTATCCCCAGCACAACTCCACTTTTTGTTTATTTTATTTATTTATTGAATTTATATACAGCCCTATACCCGGAGGTCTCAAGGCAGTTCACAGGACAGAATTAGAATATAAAAGCACAAAATATGTAATCAAAATAAAAACAACAACTCAACAATGCACACACCCCTGAATCGGAGCAAATGTCAACCCGCAGAACATTTGCTCTGATTAAGCTGTAAGGAAAAAGTGGCAGGACAAAACCGAAGTGTGGATGAGCCCCCAGAGAGAATGACTGAACTGTGGGCTCCCTAGGCCTTGGTCAGCTCTAACCACTTGGGAAAACTGCTTATTTTTTGGGGGGGGGGACTTGTCACCTTTCATTCATGCTG